AACTCAATCCATTTTCCATGGTGAAGATTCAAATCTTTCTGGAAGAACACATATGGAAGGCTCTTATGATTTGTGACCACATCTAGATGAACACTATACAAGTAATGTATCTAAATCTTAAGTACAAACATAACTGATGCAAGCCCGAGCTCATGACTAAGATAGTTTTTCTTATGCACCTTATGTTGCGTATAAGCATAAGTTATAACCTTACCTCGATAAAATCACAGCCTACGCTGACTCCGGAGGCATAGCAATAGATCACATAATTATTTAAACCCTCTAGTAGAGTCAAAACAGTAGTTGAGTTAGTCTACTTTTTAGTTCTATAATTTTCTTCTCATAATAATCTAACCACTGAAACATGACTTTTTTGTAAGTCAAATTAGTCAACATAGAGGTAATGGATGAAAATCCATCAACGAATCTATTGTAATAACCCGCTAGACCTATGAAACTTCTTTTATCTGTACGAGATATAGGTTTGGGACATTTCTCACTAAGTCTATTTTCTTCAATCAAGTAAGATCCCTTTGCTAGAAACAATATGTCCAAGGAAAGCAATGAATTTCAGCCAAAACTCACATTTTCAAAACTAAACGAATAACTGACAGTCTTTGGGAGTTTGTAGAACAACTCTCAAATGATGTGCATGTTCTTCCTCATTCCTAAAGTAAATAAAGACATCATCAATAAAGACAATAGTGAATAAGTTAAAGTAACTTTTAAAGACTCTATTCATAACGTCTTTAAAAGGTGCAGGAGTATTGGTTGGTCCAAATTACATAACTACAAATTCAAAATGGCTATAACGGTTCTGAAGGTTGTTTTTCGAATGTCACTTTTGTGATTGAGTTTATTGTTACTAATTTGAGGTCTATCTTTGTAACATGATTACCGCGCTGAAGTTGGTCAAACAAGTCATCAATCATGGGGATAGGATACTTATTGTTAATGGGGACCTTGATCAACGGCTTATTATCAATGCAAACTTAGAGATAACCACCTTCTTTTTCACGAGCAACACAGGTGTAACCCTGGGTGAAATACTAGGTTTGATGAAACCCTTATCTACAAGGTCTTTGAACTGCTCTTTCAATTTTTTTAAGGTCAGTTTGAGCCATTTTTGAAAGAGGAATAGAAACATAATCGGTTTCTGGAACAGATCAATTCCAAATTTGTTTTCCCTTTCGACAAGAATTCCGTGAATATTTTTTGGAAAAAGTTCTAGAAACTCACTGACTACTAGAACTAACTCAAGAGTTGGGGTTTTCGAGCAAGATTCCTCAACCTAAAGTAGATTATAGACAATAACCTTAGAGATCATTATCTTGGCCTTAACTTGTGAAATAAATTTACCCATAAGCGGTAAGTTACTACCCTTCCATTCTATGATTGGTTCGTCTGTAACTCAAAAAAATTAATCCTAATCTTACAACCAATTGAGGCTTAAAAAGAATGTAATCAATTAATGCCTAGAATGATATAGAAGTCTACAATTTCTAACTCTACAAAATCTGCTAACTTGACTTTCTAAGAGAGCATGACGGGGATTTTTATGTATACTCTCTAGATATAACTGGGTCACCGACTGAAGTAGAGAATGAGAAAGGTTCTGAGAGAGTTTTCAGACTAACATCAACTTGTCTTCTATATAAGGAGTTACAATAGAGAGAGTAGTCCTTTTATCTAACAATGCACAAACATCAAGGTCACAGACTTATAATGTACCAGTGAATACATAACGAGAATCCTCTTAATCCTGGAGAGCCAGGAGAGCGTACAACCTATTTTGGCGTTGACCGCAACCCGAACCAGATGAGTTACCCTGCTTATTGGGGTGACCTTCTAGTGCTGCTGAAGTTGTGGACTGAATTATACCATTGTAACCTCCTTGTCTATTTTTACAAGGAAAATCCCCCAAAATCTAACCGGACTAACAAAACCATCTTTTCTTTACTGCAAGGCATTTGTATGGATGGTTCTTACCGTACTTGGTACAGTTTATGTAAGTCATGATGCCTGAAACACTTCCCCGACATTAATAGCCTGATGCCCTATCTATCTAATCATACATGTTCTTGTAGGATGAAACACTTACTAATGAAGAGGCCAGGGCTAAAAACTTTGTTGACTCTTCGAGCAATCTCCACCACATTATTTCTACTGAGGATACTCATAGTTCCCAGTAAATACTTCTTCTTCTCCTTATCCTTTTTCCTAATCTTATCACCATCAACCAGCTGAACGTTAATCATAAGCCTAGATATGTTCATGTTTTCAAACAACATAGCATTTCTACACTGTTCTTACTAAGTCTAACACTCCATAGAAAACATATTCATTTGAGTCCTAGAATTGGCAACTATATAAGGAGCAAACCTAGAGAGTTGTATAAAATTGAATTAGTACTCTTGTACTGTCATATTACCTTGCCTCATATTCATGAGATCATGAGCTTTTACCTCTCTTAACTCTCTTGGGTACAACCTGTCTAGAAAGATTTCACTGAAGGAAACCCAAGTGATAGGACTGCAAATGTACCCCTGTTCTATTTCCACTAAGTTTACCAGATACAATCCACATCCTTAACTTGGTAATATACTAACTTAACCTGATCATTACCAATTACATGCATAACCTCATAGATCTTCTTGATCTAAGCCAAGGAATTCATAGGATCATTACCACTCTTTAATCCTAAAAAATTGATGGATTAATCCAAAAAAAGATTTGTAGTCTAGGTGCAGCTGACCAAAAATTAGCATTTGCTGAAACCCAAACACGCTGATTGTTCTCATTGGCACACTCTGATCCAACATATGAATGGCATTCTAAAACTGTTCATTCAGGATTTCTTAGCCTAGGACTGGAGGATTTGCTTTTTGCTCCTTGCATTATCTCTATGAGGAGGAATGATGTTAAATGTAGAATGCTGAGTTAGAATGGGATTAAATCACACCATATGCATGATAAGTGTAACAAACTTTTTTTTTTGCGAAAACACTAAAAAGCCTCCCTCTCATTAGATGTGGTGCACTTTAAACCCATGAAAAGCACTCTACTTAGTCAGGCTCTTCAGACACCTTAGGACACTTAAAGTTTGATCTTATGCAATATTTTTAGGTCCCAAGTCTACCCTTAGACGCAGACACGGGACCCACGACCACAAGTGATTCCAAGCTAACCCTCTTATCACAATCATAACTATATTAAAGATAAACTAAATAATAATATTGTGTGAAAGCTAAATCATAAGATATATGATTAGGAATACTCATATACTAAACTCAAAATATCAATGTTTAGAGCTTGAATACAAAAGAGAAATTAAACTCTAAAACTAAAGTTAGAACTAATTATTTATGAAATAAGCCTCTAAATTGACTAGAAATTCTAGGACATTCCACAACTAAATTAACAAAACTGAAACTAAAAGCCTAAAAAGTGAGAAAGATAAACATGTCACTAGTCCCTGAAGAATGATGACTCACCATTGTGCTGTTGAATTGAAATTCAAGTACGATCTATGTTAGATCTGAATACCTAGGACCTCAGCCTATATCACAGAAGATTTAGCATAGAGTACGCGTCTGTACTTGATAGAAACTGAGCTTGTGGAATAGTGTAAAGATGAAATATCAAATAATTGAACAAAGTAATAATATAATTTTAACATTGGAAGGATATTTAAATATTTAATATAACTAAACTAGATGTGATGACAAAGTTATGAAATGCTGAGACTGAATTATGATACCTCGTCAATGCAATAGTGTTTGGCTAAATTGTGGGAGATACTAATAACCGAAAATAAAACCACATGAGCTAAAAGTGAAGTCTATGTATACGCCTCATTGAGAGGACCCAATATACCCTGATTGAGGTATAGAGGCATGAGTGGTGTGATAAGTAAATGAACCCCACATAGGGAACTTACAACCTCTATGGCAAGTAGTTCTCTGACTACATGGATGATTGACCCTAGTCCAACTCAGTATTATGTTACTACCAATGAATTAAATAATTCATACATTAAGTCTAAATTTATTTATTATACTAAGAAGGTCACAACTGACATGCGAACTAATAGTGCACCACTATTATATTGATACTAACACATTCAAAAAATAAAGCACGTATATAAGAAATAACATAATTATTTGCCTAGCATGTGAAATTCAAGAAATAAAGAATTAAATATCTAAGGATCTAAAATTCATATATAAAACCAAGTAATAACATGATTATCTAATTGTGAACATTTAAATAACTAAAACATGATAATTTATTGAAGTTCTAGAAACCCTAGGGCTAGTTAATAGTAGGTACTCAAAAATCTGATTGATTTTTAGGGACCAAATGGGAAAAAAGAACCCACTTGTGCAATATCACATACCAGGTGACAAATTTCATGAGGAAATCTTTCAATTTTAGGTGGAAACTAATAGAAATATTGTTGCATTCTTGAACTAGGATTTGGTCGCCTCCTTCTTCTCTCAAGGTTCAAATTCCACTACACCGTTTTAGGCCTAAAGCAACTCTATGTCAAGACAACGCTTGTAAAGTGTTGCCTAAATCTTTTAAGGCTACACTTTTAAAGTGTAGCTTTAGCTTTTAGCTTTTGGCCACGATAATATTGGCAACACTTATAAAATGTGCTCTTTAGTAGTATAGATTACTCTTTATAAGTGTTGTCATATAATAATATTATTAACCACACTTATTTATGTAAATGACTACACTTTTAAAGTGACCTATTTTTATAATTATAAAAACAACACTTGTCAAGTGTAGCCTTGTAGTTTTCACTAAAATATATTTCTCCCTCCATTAAATTTAACTTTTCCTCCCAATTTTATTTGACCAAAAAAAAATTCATAAACAATAATAAAAGCTCTCCAACTTTCTGAAAGAGATTCTAGTTGCCCTAGATCTGAAATATTGGAGACATTAAATATGTTTGTTTTTCGTTAGTGGTGGACTCTCCATGTGATAGCTTCACAAGAACTTGCCATATCTCTCTCGTTCCTTCATATACTCATCCATCGTCTTTATAGTCTAAAATTTTGCAACCGGTGCAGCAATTTCAGAACAACATCGTTACTTCATAAATGAGGATTCTTTTTAATCCTTTCCAAGATATTTTTACTACGACAGCTATGCATCTATGGTTCCACCAGTGACCCATTTATTTTCATCTGTTGATTTGAACTCTATCCCTACCTATGAGAAATTCGAATCTACTCCCAAAGTTTAGAGTAAAATAGGTTGCGGGTGTTGTTGTTAGGATTTAAATTTTTTGTCATGTTTAAGAGAAGTGGGTTACCCATAATACTTTGCTTCGAAGGAAGAACATCTTGCTTCATTGACTCTTCTTCAGGTAGGGTTTCGATTTTCCCTCAAATTTTGGCCATTTCTGAATGTTTTTCTTTTCCACAACCTTTTATAATAATGCTTGTGTGGAAGAGGAGTTGTTCTCTTTGTGAATTTCTTTGGAGAATTAAAATTTCGAGTTAATTTTCTTCCATATATTTGATATGTTTTGACAAATTTTTATATGATTTTTCAGTAATTTCTGTTTCAACTAGTTTCTATTTGAAGGATTGAAACTTAAATTAAGAACCAGCAATTTTATTTCGAGGTTTTGTCATATCTATATAGTGCAATAAAGTTTTTTTTTCTTCTTATGAACCTTCCTGGGAGAGCTTTGTCAATTTTTCTTTCATTAGTTTATACATTTACAAAATTGGAACTTAAATTAAGAATCGATAGTTTTAATCTAGGTCTGCTCGTTTCTATGTAGTTTAATACAGTTTGTTTTTTTCTTGTTATGAACCTTCCTTGAGGAGCTTTGTCAAAAAGCATAGAGCAGCCAAAATGTGTCTAGCCCATATTGAAAAATGTTAAAATTGTTAGTACTTTAGGACATTTTTTAGAACAGTCAATAGTTAGTACTACAGGACATTCTTTGAACTTCTTTCATCAATTTATTTAGTGGTTGAGATTATGGAATTCTGGTGTTTCTCTAGTTTGCTTTCATTTTGTGATATTCAGGTTAATGAGCTGTTGAGAACTCTAAAAAGATCAGTTATATTCTCTTTCCCCAATTCTTATAGAAAGGTTTATTTAGTTTTCAAGAGACTTAGAGAGATAGTGTGCACCTTTTTAATATAGTTGGAGAACATTTTCTGTTGCTCTACTCTATTCAATATTTTTATCTTGAAAGGTTTACTATCTTTTTAATCAATTTTTTATGACAACTTACTATAAGGGCTACTAAATGAACAGGTTGAGCTAAAATTATGTTAGTTGAATGAGTTAAATCAACAAATGAGCGTGTGGTAACCCTAAAAGCTCATCCGATATTTGGATGGTATTCGATGGTGACTTGATACGCAATGTGGCATAAATTTACCTAACACGCGCATGGTTTTTGTTTAGTATACTTTCGTTGACAGATGTATTGTCCATAATAATTATATGCCTTCTGTTTTTCATTTATGTATGGCATCTAACAATCTTCAAAGTAGTAGAAAAAGATAAATAGTAACACATAGAGTGAATAAGGTTTTGCCTACTAATCTCAGAGAAAGAAAGTTCGGTTTCACTAGGTCACAGCCAAGTCAAGCTATGGTTCTTGGAGGGCCTTCAGTCCGTTTCTCATTACAGTTGGTAGGAACAACAAGTGGTTTTCTATTTGTGCGTTTAGTTTGAACAATATATGATTGTTTTGTTGTGTGAAGGGATAAGTTTACTTCCTATTTATAGCAATAGAAACAGTTGACAGGTTGTGATAACAGAAACTTTGGTTTCTTTTCTCTCTAATATGATCCCAACAAGATGAGAGTGAATTGTCCATTTGCATTGGATTTCCAGATTGGTTGATCATAAACCATGGGCTTGTAGTTAATTTGACTTGCAATAAAAGTCGAAACTTCAAGCTTTTTATACACAAACTTTTTCTGCCTTTCATCTTTTTGATAATTATAGATTATTTATGGTGCATTGAAAAGTTTATTAGCATATTAAGGTGCAATTTTTTTGTTTTGAAAGTCACCTGGCATTCAAATACTATTATGGATATGTGGGTTAATTTCTTACTTTATTCTTACAGTTTAGTACTGCTACTATTTATGATGCAGGATTCTCCTTGTGCTGCTCAGACTTCAGATTCAGCTTTCAACTCTTGAAACTAGAACTAGTGGGACACGACCACCTAGTGAAGTTCAAGGAAGATGTTACAACCATCGTTCAATCATGACAATTGCATTCTAGTTTATTTTTTAGAATAAATATCGAGAAAATATTGCTGCTATGGCTCGTAAATATGTATGAAGCATTGTCGGCTCTGTTCAGAAGTTGCTAAAGCTATTGCACCCTCTCAACTCTGCTCGCAGTTGACACCAAAATCTTTCTCTTGGTCACTGTAAACTGTCACTTTGGGGGATGAATTTGCAGTAACTCTATGTATGGGTTCTAACTTCTAAGTTATTTGCAACAGTAATTCATAGTTATCTAAGTTTTGTACCACCAATTTGTGAACTTGTGATTCCTAATGTATGCCGATAAATATCTTCGTGTGTGTAGCATAGTATGAATGAAAGGTTATCGATTTATTTTCAAAACTGAGGCCAATCTGATTCATTTGCACCCTTCTATTAAGAAAAGTGGAACAACCCATCCATTAACTCGTAACCTGATGTACTCATGGAACACTATTAACATTTTCCCTAGTTTCTGTACCTGGTTTTATTGATTTAATGTATTTCAGAAATCAAACTGGTGGAGAAATGCTACAGGTGAATTCTCAAGCTACCGGTGATGATGTTCTGAAGTAATTATACCATCATACTGATTCAATAATATGTTGCACCGTCAAAATGAATGTCAGTTTTGGCATGTTGTTGTTGCAGGATGAATTGGAGGCAGAACTTGAACAATTAGAAGAGTAGCTACTTCAATCAGTAGCTACTGTTGCTGCTGCTCCAGTCCATGTTCCTGCAGGGAAGCAGCCTATTTGGCCCATTCTTTAGAGCTATACAGGTGAAGAACATGAGCTTGGTGCGTTGCAAGTAGAAATGGCTCTTTGAGCTAGTATGCCTATGACTTTTAACTAGAAACTTACTGATTGGTTAAACGTGAGGTCCTGTGTTTGAAAGATTCCACCAGAAAAGATGTAAACATTATTTGATATGAATTGTTGGAGTCCTTGCTTCCATTTGCGTATTCTATATCTAGTAGTATTTACAATCATTTGGTTTAGATTATTTTGATGAAACTACCAGTATAAAATTGCTATATATGTTCCTTTATTGGTTTATGATCATATTTGTTTTTCTGCAGGCGTTATCACAGGTAGCTTACATATAGAGACTGCTCGTACGCATGTCAGAAAAATACTTAAAATGCTTTCACATTTCTCCTTTCTATGGAAATTCATTTTTGTTGTTGTACTCGTTATAAAACATATGGATTGAGAACATTTGCAGGTTGCGTGGAACATATTGCAGCTACCATAAGCAGGTAACCAATTTATTCTATATTAAGTCTGCTTGGTTGCTCGCTCCGACCTCTTCATGTTCTCTTTAACTGAAACTTGATTTATTAGTGAAAGAAAATAACAAACTGATTGTTGTAATGTTAGTTGTTCCTTTAGAAAACATATGAGAAATGATCTTCGAGCATTAGGGCTCAACTCAAAGGCGGGTGAGTGCTTAACTTATCAACCTCTTAAACAAAGTAATTTTTATAATGACGACGATACAGAGGATGAAAACAATGAACATGGTTTCCTTCTAATGGTTGATTTGTTGATCGTGATTTATTTCTAAGTTTTAATTTTATTTTGAATGTGTAGGAAAGTGTTGGCAATTCATTCGATTGATTGAGGTAGATGATGAAGATCTTTTGAACTATTGTAGAAGTTTTAATATATTATACTTAGTTTTGTGAAATTTATTGGTAGTACGTAAATTATTGCTATATAGGTATGTCTAGTACAAGACAAATTGTTTTTTATTTAATGTTTATTGCAGATCTGTACATTTATTAGTTATTTTAATGCATATTTAATGTGAAACAATATTCTCATGTTTCAATTACAAACTTTTGGCATCTAAATATTTTTATTGAAATAACATTGCAACCCTTCAAAGGTGTTGTCAAAGGGACGCTAATTGTGTAGCTTATTAAATAGATATTTTCCTGTATATTGGCAAAGACTACACTTCAAATTGTTGTTGTTGATAAGCTAGGAAATGCCACACTATAGAAGTCTTGCCAATAAAGAAGCAAAGGCTACGCTTAAAAGTGTAGTTGTAGGAGATAGAAATGTTGCTATAAGAGGGAATGCAAAGCGTGGCCTTATCACATTTTAGGCCACACTTTTCAAGTGTAGCTGATAAGACAACACTTGGAAAGCGTGGCCTAACGTCTAAGGTAACGCTGCTTTATGCAACCCCCATAAAAGTGTAGCCTTAAGTCGAAAAATGTGGCCTTTGATCAAAGGCTACACTTTTTGATAGTTTAGGCCACACATTTCTAGTGTAGTTGAAGGCTTAAAATGATGTAGTGTTCCCCATGTTTTGATGAAATATCTGACATATATAAGTTCTTGTTAGTTTTCTAGGACAAAATTAACTAAATTAAGTTGTATATAGTTAAAATGATGCAATTTAGGGGTCTAATAAAGTACCAGAACACCAAAAAACCTTTGAATTAAGTTGTAGACGGAGTTTACCATGACCATTTACAAAGATAGTCAAATGAACCACAGATCATGAAGATGGTTGTAGTCGGCACTTGATCTAGGGGTTTTTGATTCTCAAGTATAGCCTAGGAGCCCCTACTATGACATATATTATTTTAGCAGCTGTGGATTTTTATGGTCCTCACTTAGGATTATGGTCAAAAGGCTAGTTTACGAAGCCTACTAGTTAGCATCCTACAGATGACACCATAACTCATTGTGAGGTACACCGACCGTGAAGGACCTCATGGTCTTCTCTTGGGTGTGGGAGTTCAAGGGACTGTCTTAGGGGCTACTACCTCAACACTAAGGGTGTCAACACGGCCCATCATCAAGACCACTGACCATAAAGTTTCTCATATTTGATATTTGGTCCTACTGACTTCAAATTTATGACAAGGGGCAGGGTAATAGAACGTGGACCGTATCATCAAACGTGAATTGTGGATGACTTGACATTTCCTATTCGAATTGACCGATTGAATCTGGTATATTTTCCACATTCATAGGAGTGAATTTATGTTTCCTCTTGTGAATATGATTTTGTTGGGAATTTTTATAATATACATCCTAGTTCCTATTTAGACATTTTTCATTTATGGAATGTTAGCCCCTATTTGGAAAGTGTCGAGGAAACTTTCTACTCATCAGTCGGGTATAGAACTAATGGGAGATGCTTGGTTACGATTTCGAATCCGTTATTATATGTTTACTCTAGTTTTTGTTGTTTTTGATGTAGAAACGGGTTTTCTTTAACCATGGGAGGTTCAGTGCTTCTGGTAGATTTTTGTAATCTTTTCTAGGTCTGGTTTTTGAGGTGTTACATAACCATTCTTGATTAGACTTTGGTTCATTGTTATATGTTTTTTTTCATTTACATTAAGGTTCTAGGAATTTCTTTTGAAATGTTAGTTTATTATTATTAGACTTTTGTTTGGATTTTATGGGAAGTCTAATTCTTTCCCCAGTATTTAACTTGCTCCTATCACTTACATGGTTTAGTATTTTGATTAATTTTATGTATGTATTGTAGTTATGGTTCTCCCACCAAAGGTCCAATAACGATGGTTTTGGTCTTGACAATGTCGTAACTCACATGATCTCAATTTCAGTATAAGCTAATTTCCCACCAACTAATAATTAACTACGGTTACTTAAACATGCATTGCATATGCATTCAAAGGATTTAAAGATTAATTAAACATTAATGTACCTCAATTTATGATTTATGTTTTCGCTTGGTCAATTTCATGTAATTAATTAAAATGTCATTTTTAGCATGATTTGAATGTTTTGTGCATGGCTATCATACTTCATACATTATTTTTTTTACTAATGCATACTCTTGGTTACATTTTCCCCAAATATTAGGTTATGATATTCATGGTACTCAATCTCGTGATTAGTTGGTTATTTTTTATTCTCATGATTTTGTGAGTTCTCATCTTTCGAAGATAGAATTTCATTACTTTACTTTCTTTCATTTATCTCTCTTTTCGAAATGATGTACGCGCTAGGGTCAATTTCTTTCTATTGTATTAATGGTTACGAACAGACATGTGCTTAGACTTCTGCTTTTGTTCTATAAAATATTTTGAACATCGAATATTGTTTTACTTTTATTGTTCTATTTCTTATGTTATGGGAGCTAAGTGTCTTCTATGAAGTCCTTCGAGAATAGAAACTACCAGTTGGTCCTGACAATCTAAGTAGTTGTCTAAGGGTCTAGCGAAGAATATGGACTCTGTATCCTCATCTAACTGGGACTTTAGGTTGTGTATGGTATTGTAGATTTGCAAACGAAAGTCCTTTTAGTACTGGATGTAGTAATGACCCTCCATGCCATTTTCTTTGTTTTAAAATTTTATCAGCATTTAGATATTTCCCGTAGTGACCACAACTCATTTATGAATTGTTGGGACTAACATGTCATTCGTCGGGTTGTTCGTTTAGCCTTTGAAACGTGAACATATTACTTCAATTAAAAGTCAGAAAAATGGCCTCGGAATGCAATTCTGAAGGTCTCACCACCTCCGAAAGGGCCATTTTAGGCTAGGGGCATGGTAGGTTTGGGCCGTGAGACTTCTTGTATTATTTTCTATCATTAAGCTTTTTAACTTTGAAGCTTAATGATTGGTCCTCAATTTGGACCTATTTAGGGCTACATTTAGATAGAAATAGTGTTTATAAATGCATATTTTGTCTCAATTACTGACGAATAACTTTGTCTTTTATCTATTTAGAGTTTTATGCAAATCATGGGCACTACTTTAAAAAAATAAGCAAAAAGGATAAATAGAACGAATAAATAAAGTCCTGAGGAATCACTGATAGGTATGAATATGTCCTTTTGTTCCAATGTGATGAGCCCCGAAGAAAAGGTTCAAATAGGTGGTAAAGAGGAACAGTCCGCATATCACAGAGCAGATCCGCGAAGTAGTACTAAATCGCCCGATGATGTAAACAAGAAGATGTAGGACTAAGCACAAAATTGTGATGAAGTTATCACAACATTGAATTGCAAATTTGAAAGGTGATTCCGACTAACTACTCTGAGTGATCCGGTGCGGCACAAATCCTTGAAAACTATAAATACTGGTTGAGATTTTTGCATTTGAAATCAAATTGTTATTGGTTTTATCGAATTTTATAGAGTTTTATCAACATTTTAAATTTTGAAGTTTTATCTTTGATCTCTACTTTTGGAGAGGGTTTTAGAAGAACTTGAATATTGAATGGGTTTCATCTCCAAGGATTTGGGACTCTTCGATACTTCACTCTTTTCTTATAACAATTTAAATCTTCATACCTTTTAGAATTCAAACTCA